TATTATTTTAATACGAATTAAATGCACTCTTTTGTTTCAATGTGTAAATTATAAGAAAAGAACCAATTAAAAACTGTATTGCCAGCGGTCAACCAGCGAAAAAATTGAGTGTAGTATCAGATATCTTCAACTTGTATTCAGATATAAATATATGAATGCTTGATCCCAAACATCTAAACTGTATTCCTCTAACAGCAGCAAAGGTAAAATAAATAATTACAATTTAATTTCAAGCATCCAATAAAGGCAAAGGAATTTTTTGTTTTTACATTAAAGCTCGAGCAATTCTGTGTAGGATAGATATAATTTTGAAATAATTTAATAGTATAAAAACGAAATTTAAGATGAACAAAGTCTGTAATAAAACTGCACTAAAATGAAATTTTCGGAGTGGGTACTTTTACCCACTAGGTGTTTTTACCCAGTTTGCCTGTCAGGGGTTAAAAGACAGAAAATTCCACTAACTCTCAGCAGAAAAAATTAGGAAAACGGTTGACCCTGAAAGCCATTCCTGGAACTTCCCGCTAATTCCATATCTCGGCGCATAAAATTGTACTTATGAGATTTTTGAGCTCTTCGAGCTTAACAAAACAATTTATGTGTTATTTTGAGCTCTCCGAGCTCAAAAAGTTAGCTTTTCTAAGTTTTTGAGCTCCTTGAACTCAAAAGTCTGTTAGCAGTTTGATAAATCAGATATTTTTTTAATTTTCAAACCGCAATAACTTCTGAATGAATAAACTGATTTTTACGCGGTTTGCAACATTTGGGGCAATTTTTTAAATTCTATGATTTACTACTGAATACAAATTGATGAGAACGAAAATTGATCAGAACAAAAAACACAAGCTTACGAGGGATTTCACTAAATATTTTGTAATAACAGAGGTAGATTCTCAATAGCCCATTTCTTTGATTCAGGTGCTATGCTCTAATTCTTTAAATACATTAAATTATGATAATGAGTCATAACTGTCATAAGTGATGACAATGAGGATGTTATCATCATCAGAAGAGTTTGTTTTTTGTTAGCCTTACTTTTATAGAAATCAAAGTGTTGTTTTAAATTACAAGGAAAATTACCTATTCAATTACATATTTATGGTAATTTATTATCCAAACAAAAACAGTTTCACTGTAAAAAAATCGCGCCAAGTCCACGTTCATAAGACTATTAAGAAAAAAAAATTTTGTTTTCTTTACAAAAAGATATAAAATAAAAAAATTAAAAAATCCAAGTAACCGATATGATTGTATATGATTTTCCGAAATTAGAAAAAATTTTGTTGTAAATTTAAAAATTAAAAAAAAAATTTTGGAACGTATTTAGTGTGCGTGGTTGCAAAATATCTTACTTTTAATGAAATTCGTGAATTCTATTTACTAGGACTTTATAAAAATTGAAATACACAATGACGCACACCAAGTACATTCCAAAATTTTTTTTTTAATTTTTAAATTTACAACAAAATTTTTTCTAATTTCAGAAAATCATATACAATCATATCGGTTACTCGGATTTTTTAATTTTTTTATTTTATACCTTTTTGTAAAGAAAACAAAATTTTTTATTCTTAATAGTCTTATGAACGTGGACTTGGCACGATTTTTTT